ACTTGCAGTCTCCTGTCTGTTTTCCTGAAATCACCCTTAATCCTCCAGGGACCTACTTTAACCCTCCCTCGAAGATCGTGCACCTCAGGCAAGGGCACCTCGTTCCCAGTCAATCTGGACAGCCTGTATCAGCTCCGATCCCTATCTACTGACTGCCATAGATAATCTGCTTACTTTTCTGCCATTTTTCTTCTCTCAGCCTTGTTCCTCTCATTCCCCCACCCCTGCCATAGCCTTGGCTGTTTTATTCCCAACAAGTCTTTCTTTCCACCCAGATTTGGTAGTTTCTCTGCACCACGCTTATATCTCTCAGTGTACAGAATGATTTCTCACTGGGAAGGCATATTAATTCTATAACAACAGAAACAAGGAAAACATACAGAGTATTTCTCATTAGTTTTACCAGTTGTGTTCTGGACACAGGGGGTCTTGTGGGTGAATGGGGACTGTTCATACAATGCCCTTGAGAACTGAGTCTGACTGGGCCTCTGTCCCACTGAAGACTCTATGTAGCTCCTTTTTTATGGCCTCATTTTATCCTGGGTATAGGAGCAGGGCAGCAGATTTAGACTGGTCTTGGCTGTGGTCTGAACCCTTCCATAGTCTCAGAGATGTCCCCACCTTAGCCCTTTGTCATGAGCCTTGCCTCATGATGCCTGGCAAGACCCTACTGCAGTGCCTCCCTGATCTGGATCAAGCACGTATAGGGACATGATTTCCTCCTGGATACTCCACAGACAAAAATAGCACATATACACACCCAGCAAACATGCTTCTCTCCCACAGTACTCTCACTGCACCACATACATCTTCCTCTCATGTTTCTGATGAGGTCCCCCCATTACTAGAGCAATGCCAGAATTTGTTCATATGTAGTTTCACAAGTAACACACTGAGATGGGATGGAGAGTGACCAATGACTATACTCCACAAAGCCAAGTGTCTTTGTGACAGCCAGATGAAGCTTTCACTGGTAATGTGTGCCTAGGTGTGCAAAGCCTGGATCAGGAAGAAGTGTGGCCCTGGAAAGGGCAAGAGGAGGCTGTAGTGTTGAGGAGTAACCAGGGATATGCATCCCCAGCTGAGTCCTCCCTATTTTAGGCCTTGGCAGGTGGGAGATCAGGGAAGGGAGCATGAGAGAATGTTGGCATGTTGGTGTCTTGGTGGGTTTATTTCTTTTATGATTTGCCCTGCAGATTCCCTATTCTGCCCATATGGGTTCTAGGTCAAGGTGGCCCTTGTGTTGGATCCAGAAAGGGCAAAAACCAAAAGATGGAATATCACCTAACAAAAGATATCAATAACAAGAAACACCTCAAAACATAATAACTCCACATGCGTAGACAATATCACAAAACACAAACCTGAATAGCCAAGACAATATGCCTCTACCAGAAACCCAGTAACCCTCTTCCAGTAGGCCATGAGAAATGTGCTTTAGCTGGAGCACAAGATAAAGACTTCAAAATAGCAATTATGAATATGTTTGGGGACCCTGAATAGGATATTAATAAGTTCTTGAATGAAGTCTGTAAAAATATTTTTTTTAAAATGGAATGAAATAAAAAATTTCAAGACATAAAAGTAGAAATAGAATTACTAAGGAAAACACAAACTGAGATAGAACTGGAAATGAAAAATTTAGGAAGCCAAACAAAACCCTCAGAGGTCAGCCTCGCCAACAGAGTACAAGACACGGAAAGAGAATTTCAGGTCTTGAAGACAGGTGGAAGAAATGGATATCTCACTCAAAGAAAATGTTAAATCTTAAAAAAAAAATCCAGAAACAAAGCATCCAGGCAATCTGGGACAATATGAAAAAACAAAACATACAAATAACAGGTATAGAGGAGGGAGAAGAAACACAGATCAGAGGCACAGAAAATATTTTAAACAAAATCATAGAAGAAAATTGCTTCAACCTAAAGAAGGAGGTGACTATCAAGGTACAAGAATCATGCAGAACTCAAGGTAGACATGGCCAGAAGAGAAATTCCTCACAACACATAATAATCAAAATACTAAATGTACAGAAGAGAGAAAGAACATTAAAAGTTGCAAGATGAAGAGATCAAGTCACATATAAAGGTAGACCCATTAGAATAACACCTGACTTCTCAATAGAGAATCTGAAAGCCTGAAGGGCCTGTGTGGATGTTCTATAAACTCTGAGAAGCCACAGGTGCCAGCTTAGATTACTCTACTCAGAAAAATAGCCAGTCACAATCTACTGAGAAAGAAAAAACGTTCCATGATAAAACCAAATTTAAACACTGTCTTTATCAATTCAGCTTTACGGAAGGCACTAGAAAAAAAATTAAGTGTGAGAAGGTTAACCACACCCAATAATCCCAGAGCAGTAAGTCAAAAGTGGGTGGAGCACACCATAACAACAAAGTAACAAAAATCAATAGTATCTATTGCTTATTGATAACTTTCAATATCTGTGTTCTCAATTCCCCAATAAAAAGACACATGTTAACAGACTGGATAAGAAAATAGATCTAGGGGTTGGGGGTTTAGCTCAGTGGTAGAGCACTTGCCTAGCAAGTGCAAGGCCCTGGGCTTGGTTCTCAGATCCAGAAAATAAATTAATTTAGAAAGAAAAAATAATATAGATCTAGCTTCCTGTTGCATCCAAAAAGTATACCTCAACATCAAGGAAAGACATCATCTCTGGTGAAAAGGATGGAAAAAGTTGTTCCAAACCAATGATCCAAGAAAGAAAGAAGTGTAGCCATTTTAATACTTGGAATAATAAATTTCAAACAAAAACTAGTAGAAGAGACACTACATACTCATCAAAGGAAAAATCCACCAAAAGGATATTTCACTTCTAAACATTATGCACCAAACACAAGGAAAACAAAGCCCATAGAATAACCTATGGTGATATTTTATTTGTGCTGAAATGTGATTTTATTTATATGTTAATAAATAAAGTTGCCTGGGGATCAGTGATCATAGCCATTAAGCAGAAGTCTGACAGTGGTAGTACACATCATTAATCCGATCACATGGCAGGCAGAGCCTGTGTGTTCAAGGACACAGCCAGCATGGTGACACACACCTTTATTCCAAGTACCAACCATAGAGACCTGGAGGTCTGTATAGACAGGCAGTGACGAGAAAGTCATGTGGTTGGGTTTAGAGCCAATGAGAAGGCAGAACAGAAAGGCAATAAAAATACAGACACACAGGAAGTAGGTCTCTTTCTCAGGGGAAGGACGGCAGTGGGTGGTAAGAAGGCAGTCTTGGTCTCAGCTCTTAGCTACTGCTCTCTGACCTCTGGTCTTTTAACTCTGCATTTGGCTCTGTGTTTCTTATTTAATAAGACCATTCAGAATTACATTTACAATAACCACTACTAATACAGCTAAAATCATATATTGGTCCTCACACGGTGATAGTGCGTGACTTCAATACCCAATACTATCACCAATAGACAGATTATCCAGACAAAAACTAAACAGAGAAATGCTAGAGCTAAACAATGTCATAATCAAATGGACCTAGTCGACATCTGCAGAACATTTCATCCTAATACAAAAGAATGTACTTTCTTCTCAGGAGCTCATGGGACTTTCTCCAAAATGGATCACATACTTGGACACAGTGCAAGTCTCAACATACACCAAAAAAAGT